CACAGGCCTAAAATTTGAAAACCCTGGAACAGAGTGGAAGTGGAACATAGCATTTTGTAGAGCAGACAATTCTCTTTCGAATGGTATATGACTCGATGTAAAAGCATGGAGGATTTAGATGAAAATTTTTTGGTTGAAAAAAAGCGACACTATTTATGAGACAACCTAATATTTAATTCAAAATGAAAAGCGGAAAGTTTCGCTCATATGAGATAGAGTGACCCTTCTTTTGTCATCCCCTTTACTCTTATTTTTCTTGCATTTCGCTGTTCATACCGTAACATGAATGCAAGCCAGATTAATAAAGAAATGTAATTTATAGGAAAATTTAAACTCACATTTGTGAAAGCATCGCTCATTAAGCTTTGTCGTGGTTTCTCTTTCGTGTCTTTCCGTGTCCCTTCAGTGCACCGACACATGCTGGACACACGAAGAACTTTGATTGAGGAACCTCAGAAAAATAAGCTTTCTTCAGTGGAAGCTTATGGAAGGCTTACCTGTGCTAATCTTACACGTATAATAAGTATAACGCGAACAAGGTAGGATAAGCTGAATCTAAAGTCGGAAGCGACTACGAACAATGAATAGGATTAGTCGGAGGGCAGAACATCCTAGGAACGGCTAGATATAATTAAGCGATAAGGAGATTAATTAGACGACAGTGGCGACTTCAGCAGCATCTGCAGAAATACCACTGCAATACTCCAGCAAGTCACAATTCGCTTGCTTCCACCTTCTGCTGACGTTACCGGAAAAGTTCTTCCTAAAGAAGCTAGCACAACGCGTTGCGATCGCTTTTGAGATCCCCTTATTCTTAATGCGTCAGGTGCCCCTCGGTAATAGGGATGATACCAGGGTGAACAACGGTCGAGAAAATCCTCAACAAGAGGTCGTATTTGCTCCGAAGGGAGTGAAGGAGTGTAAGTTCAATCTTGTCATCACTAAATTTACCAGCATTTCGGTTGGAGTAAAGAAAACGGCATCCGGAAACTGAATATGAATATCCAAATGGAACGTGCTTGTCAAAGTGCAGCCGCAACGCTCAGAAAGCTACAAAGTAACGCTCAGAAAGCAGATGTACGAACGAGTTCATCGCAACGCGTTTGGTGGCACCATGCTCCCACCTTTCGTTGTGAAAGCGCCACATATCGCTTCCCTGGCAGCCAAGTAACTGAATGATGTGGTGCATATGCTTCCTACCTCTTTGCTTGCCTACCTTGCTCTACCTCTTTGTCATAATCGCTGCGTTCAAGCTTCATTCTATATCTCTGTTGCTGCCTCTGTTGGTGCCAGAATAATCCTTTCTAGAGTCTGAGATACGACAGAAGGGATGGGAACGTGTCAAGACACCCACTACAAGGGGAGGAAGGTCGTACTGCTGTCGCCATTTCCCCAGCACAGTTTTTTCAGCCTGTGCAGGACCTCTACGGCCCGCTAGAGTGGCTCCCTTTTTTTTTTTTTTTTTTCGCCGCCCTTTTGTTTTTTGCGCGGAACCCGGGCGCCGCATAGTCCATTAACCCTTTGGCGACAATGGCACCCACCGGTGGGTGCCACTATGACCGTCGCGTGGGACAATGGCACCCAATGGTGGGTGCCACCCTAAATTTTCTTCTTACCCATTTAAAACATTTTCAACATATCAGTAATTATAAGCAAGCTCCGTTACGCCTATGTTTAGCATATTTTGCAGAAATGTTTGTTACTAGCTAATTTATATGAAATTTTAGGATATGGCACTTCGCTCGGCGATGTATTAACTTAGTGTTTTACATTATTAGCTTAAGGTGAATTACAGATCAGGACCCTACGTCTTTTCACAGTCTTAAGACACAAGGAGGAGTTTGAACTATATCAAAAATTCTACTGTACATTTGAATTTCTAGAGTTTTCAAACACCATCCCTTTGAAATCCGAGATTTCTTTCCAAACTTCCACTTCTAATTCCAACAATACATGATCATAAAGCTTAAGACTGCAGTCATATTTTGTTTATTGTCATAGTCAAAATTTTGATAGAAAAACTGCTTTTAGGGACAATTTTGCCCCATTTTGTGCGAGAGTTGGCCGCGCCAAAAAGAGGCGTGGTCCCACGAGCACGCTACGTGCAAATCCGCATTGTCGTCAAAGGGTAAGGGGGGGAGGAAGATGGGCAGAGGGGGGGGGGTCGGGTGGGGAGAGAGTGAGACATTCAAGTTAGTAACCCGGTCACTGCCACTTGGAACAAAGCGTAGATAAGGCAAGGCTCAGGGAGAGGACTTGAGCAATTTTTGTTCTCCCTGGCGTTCCCTCCTCTCCTGGTTTTTGTCCCAGTGCCACCTCACCGATGGTTTTCAAGGACTCGGTTTTGAAATGTCACCCCCTACTCCCCATGGCCATAAACACCGTATAAGCCCCCGTTAAAAAAACTAAGAATTCACGGATGAAAAGAATGGTCCTAAACGCCGATATACTTCTGATGGTTGGACGCCCCTACCGGCGCCAATTAAGAAAATGTTTTCTTAATTGCTCAACATCACAGGAGGTACTGGCGGTAAGTATAAGTCTAACAATGCAGGTACATATCGATTGACTACACTGTCATTGAGATAAAAGCATATTTATTCAAAAATACAACATTAGAAATCTGTCAAATGAAAATGGAGCAAACGGCAAAGCACCTCGAATACAGCGGCCCCCTTATGAAGCGAAAGGCCATCAAAGTGGATGGAAGGCGACCGTCATGGCTAGGAGACATTCACGAGAGCTGCTTCTCTCATACAAAAATCCTTCACTCTTCGTCCTCGTCCTCACTGCTATGAATGCTGGGTCGTCTACTGGTGGCTGCGGAGGGGACCTGTTGAAAATAGAGGTTTATTTCAAAATATAGCCGAATTTAGTCATGAAACCAACCTTTCCTTCATTTTGGCGTATTATGTTCTCCACATCGGGGTGCAGCTTCTCAAGAGCCATTCGACGACAATCCCTTCAAGAAACAGATGCAATAATTAGTATTTTTTTACGTCTCGACCGCTATTCGTCCCGAGCACGCCAGAAACGCAAGGTGAGCAGAAACCTAGGTTTCTGCTCATCTGCGCCAACAGAACCACAGCTGCCGTTGCCTCTGTTACGAGAAGGTCAAGTCCGTCGAGGGAGGTACGGGGGGGGGGACGGGGGGATGAGCCATAGGCCTGGCATTGTCTTTTCGGTACAGTCAGTCACTCTCTTAGCCCAACGGTCATCGGCGCAATAATTATTACAGTACAAAAAGACGAGGTGGCAGCTTTGGCAGCTGCCGCCTACCAAATACGCTTCACATAAACGTATTTGATTGCGGCTTGTAAATCCAACCATCCGACTGGTTTGAAAGGGACAGGAACACTTCTTTTACATCCCGCAAATTATTGTACACAGTGAATATTACCAGAAGATCCAAATGTGTATTAAACAATGTGAGACTTCAAAATTTATTGCAAAAGACTCAAAACTTTCTACAAAAGAAATTGCAAAAATGTGTGTTTGCAAAAGTTTTGCAAAAGTTTAGGCCTTTTTGGCGAGCTTTCGGCGCTTAGCGCCTTTGTCGAGCCTGAAATGAAAAAGCTTATAATTTTCATTTCAGGCTCGACAAAGGCGCTAAGCGCCGAAAGCTCGCCAAAAAAGGCCTAAACTTTTGCAAAACTTTTGCAAACACACATTTTTGCAATTTCTTTTGTAGAAAGTTTTGAGTCTTTTGCAATAAATTTTGAAGTCTCACATTGTTTAATACACATTTAGATCGACATGAGACTTCGGGACAGAACAATTCTAAGGTATTACAAAAAGAATTGAACGCTCAGTGCTTTTCCAAGGAAACGGGATAGGGGAGTGCCAAGGTGGTTAGAGGGAAAACGATTATTCATTGATAGGCAAGCAATCTTGAAAAAAATGGAAATGGGTTAGCAGCTAACCAAACCCAATCCATTACTGACCAATCAAACTTTCCTTGCCTCCCACGGGGTCGGTAAGGTGAAATTATTTCAAGCTTACATAGAACGATAGAAACGAAGATCGAAAAAATGAGCGTGTATTTCAAACACTATTCAAATACAAATATCACTTGTGAGGGAAAGGGCAAAGAATAAAGCACTGGTTCAGCGGTGAGTAATCCCATCATAGTTTGCGCCACGCCTGCCACTTTTATGGGAATCATAGTGACTTTTAGAGGCGATCTATCCCACACAATGGCCTGCGGAGGCCAATTGAAGCACAATTCAGCGTCTTTATTCGCTCAAACAAATATGGTGCCATGGAACCGATTTCGGTGGCTGTGAGGATTAAAGTCCTTCACGGCGTACGACCTACTGTTTGATCCACCGTGCTGTGCTGGTGGTGAGCGGCGCCACTCCTATTTACACCAACCCCGCCGTGGAAAACCTTTGGTGATAAAGTAAAACCAAACTAAATCAGAGAAAATGGCGCTATCGCAAGACACAGGGGCATCCTATAAGATGAAGCTTAGGAGGGAACAGAAACTTTGGGGAAAGTGAAAATTTCTCACTTATCCTAGAATCTCTTCTCTCTCCCTCCCGCCACCTCCCCCTGAGGCCTAGCCCCTTTTTTATCAGAAGAGAGATATTTGGCTTTGAATGCCTTGCCACTACAAAACCCCCGTGTTCACGCGCCGGAAAAAAATGTTCTCAAATGCAAAAACTGATACCAAAAGCGCTTCAGATTCACTATACGTTACTAGTAAAGTAAGCCATTCTGTAGCTAACCTGTAGAATACACCGAGACTATTCCAGTCAAGCAATTCACTGAGCCTCTCCGTTCTGTTTCGCTGAATGATCCGTTGTCGACGGGACATGCCGCAGAAATCATACCTTAAAATTGGGTTTGAGACATCTTTAGCAAACTTTGACCTCTTAATTTCTAATATTTTGCAATCTGAAGAAATTTTTTTTGCAATTTTTCTTCTGAATCAAAACATCAATACAAACTTATTGTTTGAGAACTGCTCCGAAGGATTCCGGGACGTTTGAAGGTCTATGAAGCAACGTAGATACAACGTTCGAGAGGATCCTGACATGTTCCTGAATGAGAGATAGTCATCAGATAATCTCTAACAAGACGGATACGATCCCACCGTGATCGATATAGGGTTCAGGAAATTCTACGGGGACGCGCTGATTAATGAGGAAACAACGCCAATTAAACGACCAAACCTCGCCGGCGGCTGTCGACGCTTGTTATCAGAACACAATGTCATTTCAAAACCACCTGATACCACCCTTAAAGACACCGGTCGCGAGCGAATTGCTCAGAAATGGGACAAGAGGTACGAAAGAGACTGTTAGTGAGTGGAAACGAAGACATTAAATGAAGGTCCCTATTTCATATGAAGTCGACCTTATTAGGACGGAGAGACACTCGACGAGGGAAACAAGCGTTAGAGCGGCCGGTACAAGAAGCGCAGCACCGCCCAAGTTTCTTCTGTGAACGAAAAAAGGCAGTGTTGCAGCGATCTAGGCCCAATGGTTTTTGCACGGGTACTGACAGGAGGCTGTCACAACGACAGAGGGACGCAGACTGGACAGTTGACGAGGTGCAAGGTGTACTGTAGTTATCTGCGTTTGAGTGAAGAAGAATGTACTAACAAGAAAACATTCAACTTCATGGAACTGTTTTGAATGAGACCAGATATTTATCGATAGATGCTTCAAAGCGCCTGTTACAAATAGTGGTAAACTAAGTAACTGCAAATGAAGAAAATCAATCACCATCCACACAAAACTGCAAGGAGGTGGAGCACGTGAAAGATTGGTGAAAGTAAGTTACGTATTAACCGTGTTAGACTTGGGATTTTCAAAGTACGCTTGGACGTCGTGCCTGAAAATTTGCACTCTAACAAGAAGAGAACTTATGAGCTCTCGGGTGAAGAGCGGGGGCACCACCACTACTCCAAGGCGATTCTGACAGCCTAGGGTCCAGCACGACACGTGCAACGCTTTACTTTAGTCAACTTTGACTGCTACAACTTCCTTGACAGGTTCATTTTGCAGTTTTGGTTTCCATATTCGTAATCAGCGTTTGAAGCTCTATCGATATATCTGGGTCTCATCTCAAAGTTCCATGGGAAGTTGAATGCCTTTCCTGGTTAGTTTCCCAATCACAGCACGCGCTAGATGTGACTCTCCGCAGATCGTCTGTGTTTCTACCACTCCGCGCCGCGACGACCTCTGTCGTTACGCTTTTACGCGTTTTCTTCACGCATAGGATGTTGGAAGCTGACCCGAAATAGTCGAACAATCAGAACATATATACTGCATGAACAGCCAGAATCCACTAAGATTGGTTTGAGATAGACGGATTCCCATTACTGGTTGATTGCTGTCGGGAGTAAGTACTAAAAAGGTGAGCTACATGCCTTGTCAGAAGTGTGTCTCAACAATCTGCGACCTAAAACGGTGAATTGTGATTTCCGTATAGCTTACTACCCTATGCGTTTCATAATATGACGGAACACTCGACGATCGATGTGCACCTCGTAGCAAGTCATAATCAAGACAATCAAATGGAGAACCAGAAAGAAAGAAATGGCTTGAAAAACAGGAAAAGCTTCCATATACATGCACCTTGTAACGGCCTCAAAGAATGGGGACAAAGTACTGCCTAAATCGAAGTACATGCGACACTGGAACTTGAGATCAGCTACTCACGGATGGAATACCAGGGTTTCACCGATGATCACGGAATTCACGAATGTGTCGCCTTAGGCCTTAAACCTGAAAGAAAGTAGAAGCAAATAAGATAAATAATGAAGTTATAAAAATGAAGAATCTTGGCAGTTTTATTGAGCTCGAAGAATTCCACGATAAGGTCAGAGGCCGAAGAGGAAACATACTCAGTGGAAAGGCAGGTACGGGGAATGGGGAATTTAGCAGCGAAAGAGCAGTCTTTAACGGCTAAGCAGGCCTTACCCGCGCACCGCTGTGTGCCACGCGCCCACCCCCTGCCGACCTAGACTCCAGGCCGCTCGTGGTAGGAGAGATGCGAATAATATTGTATGTGCCAGCACCGATAAAACACGCCTAATGGTAAGGCGCAAATCGACGGGCGAAAGGGTCCCTTTTCACAGGTTCTGCATCATCTTTTTTCACTGTAACACTACACGCCCTATGTATAAGCTTCCGCTTTTGTGTCGAGAAGATCTTTCCATCGTAGAGTTCCAGCTTAAAGCGGACAGTGGAGATATGATAGCCACACTTATAAAACACAGGGAGAACCACCAACGGATCGTGCCGAAAGTTACAACGGAACCTCCTCCAGCGAGTGGTGAGAGGCGAGAATCGACTAAGAGGGCGGACGTATTGTGGTGGGCAGAGCGGATATGTTTGAACCGGAGGTTCTCAACGTAGCAGCCTTCTTAGGTCGTGGCACAAAGGGGTACATGCGTTCCGTTCCACTCCATGTTTCTCACGCAAAGGTTCGTCTAGTCCACAAATCCGCGTGCCTTTTGTGCTACAACGGCTCCCACATGACTTGGCGTCCTGGACGCGATGGGTGTCATGCTGACAGTCTTGTTGGTAGTTTCGAAGTTTATTGCCAGTTTATAATCTCATGTCACGTTAGAAGGTGGTTATATCAAACTCTTAGCTTCACGCTGGGAAAAGTGAGTTCCTGATAAAAAAAGGTTGGAAAGCCGGGCCAATCAATCAAAGCGCCAACTATAAAGTTTGTTTGACAAATTGGGCATTACTATGTTACTTGGGCATTACTTATGTTACAGCTCAATTGAAGCCGAAAAATGGCTTAAATCTCTCATTTGGAAATGCGCCATGTACCCTTCTTCCACGCGTTTAATCGCTTCAAACGTGGCTGCGAGACTCATATGGAACAGGCACAGGGTTAATTCGATACTACTCTCTGAAAATATAACGGAATTCAGGCCGTTAATCTCTAAATCATTAAATAAGAAGTCAAATTCCGATTTGTCATAGCTGTATTGAAAAATATTTCCGGCCTAGTACTAGTTTCTGATTCATTTACACTTTCCGTCCGCAAGAATGACTACAACGAACTGAACTACCAAATACGAAGGCGCATCGCGTCTGTCTATGTCTGTTGATTTTTGTTTTCAAATAATCTATATTGAAAATGTTCCAAGAATTTATCTGTGAGTACCTGGTCGTCGCCGCGAACCATATTGTGCGTACATATAGGTGGGAGATCCTTCTTTTCCGTAGCCATTATACACCGCTTGAGCTGAAAATTTCAAAAGTGTTACTTTGAAAAGCAGCACTTTAGAGTCTAGTGAATTCAATGAGCTCGGGAAAAGGCCAAGCCGCTCAGGAAATCGTCTGGGTCAACAAGACTACCTCCCCTTCCTATATGCAAAACAAATATCGCGGATTCCGCTCTGAAATCTAGCACCCTTTGCTTTTGCCCTGCCCACTAACCTCCACAGCCTGCTAGTCCAAAAAAGAGCAGAAGTAATGACATAAGGAAGCGAACCCTTCTAGCTAACACCTCATTAAACAAAACTAATTCCTGAAAATCCAAAAAAGCTGAGTTGGGATGAAATGGTGCCCCGGTAGCGTAACTGGTAGCGCACTTGCCCGGAAAGCGAGAGGTGCGGGTTCTAGTCCCGCCTGGGGCGAAAGTTTTGTTCACAACCCAGCATTCTTGTGAAACTAATTCCTCATCCTTGCAAAAATGCACAGGTCGATACTTTACGTGCCAGCATAAAAAGTTACCATGATATTCCTTCAACCGGTCAAGCCTGACCCCAATGACCATCCCTCTCACTAACGGGCCACAGTGTCTGGGAATAAATAGGGAAATCGTGTGGAATTTGATGCTGGCCTTTGTGCTCGTTCAGCCTAGAGTGGCAAAACCTCCTTTCAAGAAAGGGAGCAGCTGCTTTTTTGCCTTTTGGAAAGGTGATAATTGAGAAAAAAATTCCTAGGATTTTCACGAGTCCCACAGTATGCAAACAGAAAAACAAAAAAATTCGGAATCTGTGAAAAAAAAACTACTCAAAAAGCTAGAAAGTACGCAGTACAACCAGGAGAAAACGGACCAAAACGTTATCAGCTGGAGAGAGAAGATCGTGGCCGTCGGGTAGATGGCCCTGCAGGCAGATATCAAACATCCGTTGGCCGATACTCTCCTGAATAGATTTATTACACCACATAAACCATCATCCTCTGAAAATAGCACCTTGATTCTGTCTACAGCTTCTTTCAATTGTTTTGTGACCGCTTGTCCCTTCAAGGATTCAACGTTGAAGGAGTTTGATGGTGCTGAAAATGATGACAATCAAAACCAGGAGATTACAAGCAGAATTCACTGAAAACCTGGGTAGATAATAAAGGCCACCACGGTGACTCCCTTGTGTCGAGGATCGGTAGTGGTTTGAAGGTAATGGTTGAGACGAGCCAACGATTCAATGAACAGATCTCCTCCTTTATTCGAAAATTCGTACCTGTAAAAACAGAGCTCAACTAATTCATCTTCTCCTGCTTGGTCCATAACAGGAAAGGATAAAGCGGTCGGGGTTGATCAATCCGTATTATTAGAATGCGCCTTGCTTTCAGTTTCCGTTGAAAGTCGCAGCGGCGTTTGCATTCGACCTGGACGATTCATTCACTTGCGGAAAAAACCGATGTAGGCAAATTTTTGTCCTCCCAAATAATCTCGCACCGAGTAGCCGTCTTGCAGGAGTGACAGATCGGGACGGCTCAGTTAATGTGCTAGCCGAGATGTGACTCAAACCGCAGGGTATGCAAGTGGTGCCATCAACCGTTTCCCCATTTGAGCCTTAGCATAAGTCGTTACTTCACTTCATGTCATGATCCTCCCTTGTGTTTTTTCGAGATTATGGAGCTTATTTTAACTCTCACTCGCAGGATTCAGGGCTAACTGCGTTTCAGCCACTTCTTGAATTGGAACTGTTTAATATCGTGAACTTCCACTTCGACCTTATAGAATGCCTGACACTTGACGCCAAGTATAGGAATCATACCGATACTTTGCTTGGAGGCCGTCGTCAGTTGTGGTGCGTGGTCTGCACTCGACGCGCGTCTGGTTTCCAGACTACAACTGACGACGGCCTCCAAGTAAATCCGGTTACTAGTGATCCATGGTAATATCCGATAGTTGGTAAATGATAGCTGTACATAATTTGTGATGGAATACAGTTGCAACCGGCTATTCATTGCATTGGCAGATAACCTTTATTTGTGGAGGCGTCGTAATTTGCATTGTGTGGTCTGCAATCGACGTGTACCTGGTTGCCGGAAACACAGGGTACTTGACTGCGATTTGTTAGAACTAACCTACCAGACCAATTATTACGCTCGCAGTAGCGAACCTTAACCCTCCTTTCGAGACCAGTTCCGCTATGAACAAGGGCTCTATCAACTTTATAGGGTGTGTCGACCTTTAGAAATTGAGTGAGAATAGCGCAGCGCTCGTGGGTGCCGTGCCGCACCCTACGGAGGGTCCTGACACCGTTTTCTATAGCCCCTTCTTGTATCATTAAACGTCAGACTCATTCGAGAAATCAAAAGAGCTCATCTAAATCTCCTGACCATCCAACTCATTGTTTATGCCAGATACGCGTTCAAATAATACTGCACATAAACATAATGGAAACGAATTCACGGCACATTTCCTGGCTGCGTCCCCAATCATTACGATTAAGTATAAAACGGTGTTCAAGGTCCATTCACGCCATAAAT